ACAGAAGGTTGTGCCCCTCCTCTGTCACACTTGTCCCGGCTCCCCCTCCAGACCTGTAAGCTCCTGGGAGCTGGCCTCATTTTACATCTCAGCAGAGTTCAGAAGCAGGAGGCAACCAGTACATGAACTACTCTTCCACTTTATATGGGTTTTATTTCTATTAAAAAAGGAAAATCAGAAATTCCTGCATTTTATAGAAGGAGGTGCCATAAAGTGCTCAGAGGCAAAAATGGCCTACAGCTGGTTTAACACTCAGTGTGGTGTAGGCTCGAAGGCTGACGATGGTCATGTGAGAGGCGGTAGACGGACAGGTAGCTGCAGGGGCAGCCCAGCCCGCTGCAGTGAGCACTGTCTCCTCCTCCCCACCGTGTACAGATTTTACATGATTACTTATGGGACTTGATGAGATTTTGGTAGCACCAATGGAGTAGCCAGCTCTAAAAAACCCTGAGGACACAAGACTAACGTTTAGTGACCTCAACAGGCCTGAAGGAAAACACACATGGAGGGTGAGAGGAACTAGCTCTGAAACACTGAGCTCCTGTGCTTGGACCGAGAGTGCCATTGATCATGTTGTGCTGGATGCTGCATGCATGGCTAATTTTTAAAAAACAATAAATGTCTGGGATGGGTTATGGAGGGCTAGATGTAAGAGGCCAAACTTTGCCAGACAAGCTTTAAATTTATTTTAAACTTTGTGAATTTAAATTTTTTCCAGAGTTGTATGCTCTGAGTTGTAGAAAATTGAGTACAGAAGTCAAGATAACGGCTATAGCTTGCACGGCTCTCTTTACACAACACCGCCTAAGCATGGAAGAGGTGCACTGGAAATCAAGTCCACATTTGAGACATAGCAAAGAATGTCTTGTCACAAACAATAATTTTGAATGGATCTTTTAAATAGAAGTCAATTCAATTTCTGCCTAAACTTATTTTTATTTTGTATTTTATGAGTGATGGCTTTTATATATAAAACTTTGCCTCTGGGGTTCATAAAATCAATACATCCCCACTACTTCCTCATCAGCAAGTATCTAGTAGTGCTTTTGCACTGATTATGCAAAATTACCACCAATTCCTTATTCTAACCCTAAAAAAAAACTGTGAGAGAGTATGTTTTATTCATAGCTGATGGAAAAGTAAGATATTATGTAAAAAATGTGAAAGAAATCCACAATGAAAACACAAAATAACCTGTTGCTGAGAACTTGAAGCCTTGAGTCTACAGCTACCCACGGAACAGGAGCGAAGGGAGCGCACAATCTAGAATGCACATGGAACCAAATGAAAGAGGCAAGACACACGCTTCCACACTACAGATACAGATCTAGAACTAAGCTGATGTCAGTTCCAGGAATTGACAAAGTTTTGGGTGGAGGATGTAGGAAAGAGAAGAGATGAAAAAGGTTATACAGGTCCAAGAGGAAGACCCAGAGATACTTAAAAAAGAAAAAAAAAAAAAAGACATACTAATCAATATTCAAACTATTCAATACTGCGCCTAGTTCCTACAGTAAAGAAATAGATCATTGAGGAGCCCCTATTGAATAGCCCTCTTGTACAGACATCTAGACACAGCAGAAAAAGCTACAGAGCCAGAAAGCATGGGAGAGGGTTGCAGAGAAATGGGAAGCAAGTGTTCCTAGGAGGCAGAGGTGGGGCTATAGCCAAGGACCCAGAACTGACTAGCACTAGCACACCTGAGTAACTAGCCCAACTGGAATCCAATGCTCTCAAGGAGGCTTTCCATTGGCTCTAAAACCATCTTTCAGCAGTACAGCCCCCTCATGTGATGAGCACCTGCCTAGGGTGGTCCACAAGCCACATCAGCACCACGGCTGGCTGTCAGAGTGACTGTGGCATCGTGAATGCACACCCCAAACCTGCCAAATCAGCATGGGAAGACAGAGACGCACTGAGAACCTGAACTTTTAACAAACCCCCAAGTGAGTCACGCCAAGATTAAGGCATTAAAGATGATGAAATGCCTGCGATCGTGTGACAATGTGGGAGAAAGACAGTTTCTTTCTACTCCTGAATTTCCACTGTTTTCTTATTTTCAAAATACTTGTCTTCCTATACCATCTGTTTTACTGATTAACCATTATTTTTATCTCTAATATATGATCAGAACATTCTTGTCCTATTGTCTACTGTAAGCCAGTTTCAAACTAAAATAGGGCCTGTTTTTTTTTTAAAAAAAAATGCACTGGAAGCAATACACTATGGCGTGTGTGTCTGTGTGTACGATCTATATTGCCAATTCTGATTTAAACAAAAAAAAAAAAAAATCAAACCAAATTTGTAACCAATTGAACTATTTCATTTTGTAATTCAGGTTTATTTGGCTCTAGTTGTACAACAACATTAAATAATACTGTTCAAAGAAAATGAATCTGAGTCTGCTTACTGTCAGTACCTTGTCTGCTTGCGTAGTTTCTCTCCAGGTCATGCTGTAACAGTCTACCAGGAAACGGTGGTGTTTCTCTATTAAGCTTTAGTTCAGGCTGAAAAGCGGTGTTTAAGAAAAGATATTGGGAAGAAAAAATTAACAGTCAGAAATGAAGTTTACAGTGAAATAACAGATAAAATGTACTTTTAAAAGGGATGGCCCTAGAAAACTTCAAGAAGGGCCTCATATTATAAGATTCCATCTATATGAACTAGCCATGGTTAGAAAATTCATAAAGACAGAAAGCATATTTCCAGGGATTTAGGATTCATAGGGAATAGGGAGCAACTGCTTAATGAATATGGAATTATGTTTGGAATGATGAAAATGTTCTAGAACTAAACAGACAAGATAGTTGCACAACAATGAGAATGTCCTTGATGGCGCTGAGTTGTAAACTTTAAAATAGGCTAAACTGGAATTTGCATAGGAGGTGAAATTTTCCAGACACGAAATTAAAGTCAGTTACACAAGATCAGACTAAAATACTTCCACATTCTCCACAAATACGATTCACAAACACAATGACTGAAAGGATTATTTGTTCAATAAAAAAAATGCAAACAATAAAAGCTAAAGTAGAACTGTTTTGATTTTTAAATCCTTTATATGTCTAATTGTAACACAATAACATTGCATACTTAAGAATTTAAGAGTGGCTCGTTAGCACAAGCCTATAATCCCAGCACATAAGAGGGAGAGGCTCTCTGTGAATTTGAGGCCAGCCTGGTCTACAAAGCGAGTCCAGAACAGCCAAGGCTACACAGAGAAACCCTGTGTTGAAAAAAATCAAAGGGAAAAGAAAGAATTTTAACTATTTTAACTAATTTTTCACAGCAGAACTGAAGATCAAACACCAGAGTGACCTCGTGTTTATCCATAAAAGGTTTTAAAATATATCTTCAAAGACTTATGATGCTTCTCATTCACCCACCCTTTCACGTCAGCATTTGCATCATATCATCAACACTACGAGTTTACACACACGGAAGTGAATGGTACCTAAAGGATGTTGAAAACACAGCATTCCTAAAAGCATTGTAATGGGAAAGGACTGACCTGGCAAAGGCAATCAGGAGAGTCTCACAAACAGTCCATTATGCCTGATTCTGATAAATACATTTCCATTAATTCAGTCGTTATTGGACATGACCAAATACCAGGGGATTCAAACAAGGAAGTGGTCACCACTTTCACATCTAAATGTAATTAATCAGCTGCAGCCTCCTAATTGGAGGTCCCATCCATTCACCCAGCTCTGGCCTCATTTATGCTATTTCTGCTACTGTCTGTAAACTCCAGCCTTTATGCTAAAGAGTTCTTCCAGTGATATCCATTTCACAACTTTTTAAAGAACAACTGAATTGTGATGGTTGAGAATGTACATTCTAGTTAAAGGCAGAAGTGTATTGTATACAAATAGCACGGGCGGAGAGGGGGTGAGTATACGTGAGTGCTGGGGTGAGGCAGGAAAGGAAGAAAAAAAATCTCAGAAAGCAAATGAAAACCCAGAGATTCTAGAAATTTCCAAGATATTACAAGTAAACGGTATGAGTGTAGAAAGATGTTTCAGTGTTTCATGGTTCACCTAACAACCATGACAGGTGTCTCACAGATGCCTGTAACTCCAGCTCTGGGGGATCTGACACCTTCCTCTGGCTCACAGAGACACAGACACACACACACATGAATCTCACACTTAATACATTATAAAAACACTGTAACAATATTTTCACTACTAAGCTAGTTTTTCTTCTCTAGTTTGAAATGAGGCATAGAGTGAAACCCTCCTAAACTGTCATATTTTCTCCTTCCTGAGACACTACCATTAGAATGACACCATCATTTTACCTATAACTAAGAAATAAAAGCATTTCTCAATTAAATTATGTCATACAACCAATTTTAAGAAATGCCTTCTCCAGAAATGTTTAAATGTAAGGAATAGGGCTCTCGTAGTCAATGGAATGACCTAAATTGAAACAAGAGGGGTGATTTGGTTGAGTGTAGGCAGAATATACTTTACATTGAAGACCAAAATAGAATCCCCAAGTCAGAATCTATTTTTAATCATGCAACTATTTGTGTGGAATATTTAACAATTTATTTTCAACAAATATAAATATGATTAAATCTTACTTTGTTTTTGTCAGGAAGTGACGACGTTTGAATAACCAGATGAAGTCCACAGTTCACCTGAAATGTAAAAATTAAATTACAAAATGTTATAGGCACACATTCCCCCCACACACACACACACACACATGGTACAAAGTTAAAGCTTGGAACACACTCAAATGCTCCATCTTTGTTGGCTTTTCTGGTAAGTAACCAGAAAATAAGCAGATTTGTAAAATCATGTCTATAAATTAAACGCTTTCATTGATTTATTTTTCAAAAATTCGGAGGCACCAATTTAACCCACCTTCTACCTCAGGCTTTGGATCCCCACAATTTTTCCTGCCAGTCAATATGTCAGTGTTCGAATGAAGGAGGTTGGGAGTGTCTAAGAACAGGTTCCTTTCTCAATTGAAAAATGAAAGAAAGAAGGTAGGGGGTAACTAAAGGAATCCCAGTGTTTGCCCAGCAGACCAGCTCCACCTCCTGGGGAGCTCAGATCCTGGACAGGATTTTAAGCATCTATCAGACAATATTCAAATACTCTCGGAGTGGTTTGGACTAGCGCAGGAACCCCTAGCCTCAGTCAGACAATAGCTTGAGCAGCCTTGGTCCCAGTACTGCAGCCCATCACCTACGACAAAGGCTCCAGGCAGAGAGGACAAGACTAATGGAAAGGAAGAAAAAGCAGGAAGGCCCAGCTCACGTTGTTTGCTGCCCGGCCAGAAACGGAGCGGTATTTCCCGGGAATCATGGCAGGAGACTGTCCAGGATGTTCGATCCTCCTTCGAGGTAATGCTACAGCTAAGATTCAAAGAGACCAAAAGGGGTCATCTCCCAGGCAACCCGCTCAGTGGTTGCCATAGAAACCACCATTTCCGGTCTGGTCCTCGCCCCAGATCTGCCGGGCGGCCGAGTGGCTAGCCTCCGGGTGCATCTGTGGGGCCCGGTGCGTCAGCACTTCCTCGTTCTGCTCTTTTTCGGGCCGCGTGAAAACAGCGGGAGATCCGGAGGAGCCTAAGAGGGGGAGGAGGCCGGGCACATCGGTGGCTATGGCAACCCTGACTTCCGGTCCTTGTCCTTTTACCACCCGCCTCAGCTCTGCCCGCGGGAAGTTTGATTCCCTTTCCCTGCGCCTTCCTGTTTTCCTGGAAGAGTCGCCGGGAAGAGCTGGAGAAAGATACCCAGAACCTTCTCTTTTGGAACCCCAGTTGCGCTCTTCCGCCGAGCCGAGGCCGGGAAGCCCGACTCGGAGACCAACAGTGAGGAAGAAGTCAGCTTCCCCGAGGCCACTGCTGGCTGAGGGACCTAGTGTGCCGGACCTGGGAGCCCCTACTGCCTGTCCCCAAGACAGCCGACCCGTCAAAAGTGGCTGAGGAACGAAGCTGTGAGGCTACTGCTGAAGACAGGCTTGCTGATAGTAATCCCTTTCCATACCCAAACTCATCCAGAAATTAACGTCCTCGGGGGGCTGGAATCATTATAGCTGCAATTCCCAGACCAGTATTCTTTCTGCAATAATGATCCCACATCTGGGGGTGCCTGGACTCTTTCTCTTTAGAATACTAAAAAGTCGTATTCTATTACTGTTTGGAATGCAAACACACAATTTTTGGAGAAAAATTATGTACTCAATTTACACATCCTCGAATGTGTGTGCGTTTTGTTGTTGTTCTTTGTTTTGGATTGACCCTTGCCCTTCCACACCTGTTCAGTTTAATACCACTGTCTCAAAACGTTCATAAATGTAATATTGACCTTCTCAGATTTTGGTTCCTCTATGTTCCTTCGTGTTACAAAATGATTGTAATCACAGTTGACGATTGGCCCATGTGTCGTGCTTCTGAAGCCCGTGTTCAGCCTGTCCTCTCTTCACTGGCTCATTTTCCGGCAATGTTTTGAATGCTAAATACCCTGAATCTCATGGAGACAGTAGATGTGGTGATGAGAGAAGACTGGGCACCTGAGGTAGCACTGTGGAGCTGCATGAAACTGTGGGAGTTAGGCCACGCTTGTTGCAGCCGCAGCTCAGGGGAATTACCTGTTTGTTGTGAGCTTTAACTGCAGTGCTCTCAGCACTCCAACTGTGATGGTTGAGCATGTTTGTTGCTTTGACTAGGTCTATCATCAACTAAAATGCCAGGCCCTAGGAACTCCTTTGAGAAATCCCTTGACCCGATCATTTGAAGCAGTCAGAACCCACTCTCAGTGTGAGCGGCGCCTTCTGCTGGCAGCTCAGGTGAAAGGAGATGAAAACCGGAAACTTTGCCTTCTGCCTGCTTGCTTTTCTCCTGGCAAGTTTTTTTCATCTCTCTTGTTGTTGCATTTCTTATCCAATATCAGAGAAAGCTTCTTAGGGCTTCCAACAGTGTCTGAAGATGAGCAGCTCTCCAGGAGTCCTGCTGGCTTTACCTGCCAGCCTGAGAGACACCCAGCCCTGTGGACTGAGCAACTAGCAGATTCCTAGTATCTCTGGTACAATCACATCCTATAAGGCAATCTACTAAATCACCTCTTACTACATGCTGAGTATATCAGTCTCTTCCTTATAGAAACTAACTAATACACCAGCCTCCCAGTTTCCGACAAACCCAAACCCACCCTTCTTCAGAAACTGTTCAGTAATGAATCTGGATGCTCTAGTGAGTCCTGCTTAGTGGATTTCTCTAGAGTGCTCTGATCAAACCCAATCGGTCCTGTCAGCTCTCTGGTAAGATGCACCTGGTCACTGACTACTGTATTTCCTTGAATGTGTTTTCTCAGATGCTCAGCTAATAGCTGTTATAGTAGGGATAGAGGTGTTCCACGTGTTTAAAGCTCTAGACAGTTCAGATCTTCCCCGTGCTCTGTGAAGAAGACCCTGTCAATCACAGACTCATTCATTTTGTGTATGTGTCCATTCTTTTCATTGTCCAGCTCCCCTGAAAAGGTTAGAGCTTTAAAGAACTTGGAAAATCCACCAATCAGAATGCTTCAATTTGTCAAGGAGAAAATGCAGTGAAGTGGTTCCCAACACTTGCACAACTGTTTAGTGATAGATGACATAAGACTCTTCCCTAGCTCATCAACTTAAAAAATTATTTATGTCCAGTTAGATGGCTCAGCCATTAAAAGCACTTGCCACCAAGCCTGGTGACCTAGTTCAATCCCCAGGATCCACAGATAGATGGGGATGGGGAGAACTGACTCCCTCAAGCTGTCCTCTCCACGTGCACCATGGCATATATGTGTACGTACACATACCAAAAAAGTAATAACGCATAAAAACCCAGACTGTTTAACTGCTTTACGTGACTGTCATGTACCTGCCCTTTGAATGTTCCGCAATCTCTCTCTAGATCCTATTCTTAAGTTTATTTTTAATTTAGGTGATTCCCTCTGAGGCAAGGCTTGACATTCACATGCGTCTAATTCCTGATGTTGCTGTAAATAACTCAGCTACCAGGTGTTGTCACACTCATCTGCTTTCCACCACCAGGACTTCCTGCCCCTGGAAAAGAAAAGGTAGATCTTCTCCCCATGCTACCGGGGGGGGGGGGGGGGGCTGGGAAGTATCCCGAGGAAATTACCGCTGCCCGTTTAGGCCAGAAGGATCCCAGACACCTGGGACATGTCTGCTATTATTCTAGGATGGTATTTGTAACTTCATATTCTCAACATTATGCTGCACACTGAGATAGCTAAAACCACATAATCCTTAGACAAGTTTCTAGTTGGACTAAATTTTAATTCAGGTATTGTTTTAGCTACTGCCACCAGGGAATAATGAATCTCTACAGCCAAGGATTGTGCCTTTGTTATTTCTATATTTTCTCTGCTGATGCTTTATTTCTTCACTAACAGTACTGCCTAGTTGATAGATTGCGTTAAAGACCAAAAACTTTCAGCATTCCCATCAAAACATAAAATCTGTTTTTTCACTTCTTGACTTTGTGTTGACAACGTGGCTTACTCTGGCCAATTGAGTTACCAGGAAAGGTAACTCAAGCTGAGATTTGAAAAGAACCTGGGCAATGGGGTTCCCCTTGGTGTGTTTCTGACCCCAGGACTACACGGAAAACTACTTCGTGCTGAGAATGCACAAGACTTCTAGAGAAGCAGCTGGCTCCTTCAAAGAGTTCTCCAACTGTCCCTGTGTGGATGATGACACTGGGCCACTGAGGCTCTCCTTACACATGAGGAAGCCATAGAGCACTGAGCCTGCCAGCACAGACCTCCCAGTCAACCCCGGGAACTGTGAGATGAGTCAGCACTGTGTTTTAATCCATCGAGTTGTGGTGTCATTTGTTATGCAGCAAAGACTACCTGATATACCGGTGGTTTATCAGACTTTGGTTTTTGTTTTTGTTTTTTTGAGACAGAGTTTCTCTGTGTGGCTCTGATTGTCCTAGAATTCTTTCTATAGACCAGGATGGCCTCGAACTCACAGAGGTCTGCCTGGCTCTTCCTCCAAGTGCTGGGATTAAAGACATGCACCACAACTGCCTGGCCATCAGACTTTCTTAAAAAAAGAAAAAAAATATCAATTATTACTCTCTTCTCTCCTCACCATAGCCCTCATCTTCCTATTCTTCTACACTGATATATTTGGTTAGTAGTTTTGAGTGTACATGGTGTTTTACTTCAATGATACAACAATAGCCTATAATTATAAATTACAATCGGGTCAGTTGGGGGCTGGAGAGATGCCTCGACAGATCAAAGCACTTGCTGCTCTTGCAGAGGCCCCAGGTTCAGCTCCCCAGACCCCATCCAGCAGCTCACAGTGCCTGAAACCTCCGGCCCCACCAGCATCTGAACATGCCGATAAGCAGGCGCATTCACACACACCCCAATACAAATAAGTAAGTATATTTTTAATTGGGTCGATTGCAGATGTAAACTTAAATCCAACTTGGCTCCCACGTGTTTTCTCTCATGGGTTTTGGAAACTCTTGAAGAAAAACATGTTCCCGATTCTCTCTGTGTTCTACAGTTTTAGAACTAAATAACTTTCCACAGTGGACAACAGCTGTCTTGGATCTGCTTGATGAGCCTTTCTGGCGTAAATTGCCTCTTTTAATTAAAAATGCCAGCAATTTTCTCCTTCTTGACAAACTTCCTTTTAGGACATGTAAACTTTTGGAAAGTCTAAATTACATCACAGATTTATCTCCAACACTATTCCAGGCTTCCAGGACATGATTTCAGATCCCCCAAACTGGATATCTTGGGATGTTATTTCCAAATACCCATTCCTGGATGCGAGGGCGATCTGCATGCGACATCTGTCACCCCCTTGATGGCCATGGTTGATTCAGCTGATCTGGCCTGCCAGGCGGGTGTCCCTGTCCTCCCTCACCACTGCGTGTGAGTCCCTCGCGAAGCTGCGTGCTCGCTCAGTGGAACAGGACAACCTTCCCCGAGGTATGTGAGTAGCTGCGCTTCCCTGCTAGAACCTCCAAATAAGCTCAAGGTCCAGATACTCATTCCTTAGGCTCGCGTCTTCACAGTCATTTTTAACACTTTTCATTCATTCAATAAACTGAGGCTAAAACAGAAACCACAGAAACCAAATTAAAAAAAAAAAAAATCCGTCCTTGTCCTCAAAGATCTTCCAGCATATTGAAAGTCTAAAAATGAATTTCCACCATTTTGTAGTTAAGACTTGATTCCCAGGAGGAAGAAAGACTGAAAAACCAACACGAGGACCCTGGGAGACTGGGTTAGGAAGGACCCTTCAGGTTTATTCCTAGCAGTCCTGCCAGGAACCACATCAGAGCGGCCTCACGTGACCCGGGAGGCTCCCAGAGAACTGCTAAGCAACTGCGCAACGTTTGTGCGCTTTCTACGCGTGATAAACCACAGCCGAGCTGTGTGGTGTTCTGTGTGGCGCTCTGATGACAGAGTGTGGGCTGGCCCGCAGCAGCCCCTCCCGATCCCATTTGCCATGACTCATCCGTCCCA